TGACCGTTAAAATCGTGATTTTTTCGTTTATAACCGTCGAAAAGTTTTGTCCCGTTACTTGATCTCTGAATGTTTGTTTTTTGCAATTTTTTGGCGTATACAATCTCGAAGTATATATAAACATGTTTGACGGTTGGATCATTGAAACTAGTTTCGTAGAATGAGTATCCCATCAAAACAATAGATTCACTAATACTTAATAGTTTATTCATACTTTTATTAAGTATAAAATATAAGATTTTGTGGTATCCACTAGTGTAAATATTTTAAATTGAAGATCGAATTCAATCATTGTATTCATATAGGGTCAAGGAGGAGTGTGTAGTTGTAAAAAAATCATCAAAATCGGAGTTAAAATGACCGTTAAATCGTGATTTTTCGTTTATAACCGTCGAAAAGTTTTGTCCCGTTACTTGATCTCTGAATGTTTGTTTTTTTGTAATTTTTGGCGTATGCGATCTCGAAGTATATACAAACATGTTTGACGGTTGGATCTTTGAAACTAGTTTCGTAGAATGAGTATCCCATCAAAACAATAGATTCACTAATACTTAATAGTTTATTCATACTTTTATTAAGTATAACATAAGATTTTGTGGTATCCACTAGTGTAAATATTTTAAATTGAAGATCGAATTCAATCATTGTATTCATATAAGGTCAAGGAGTGTAGCTGTAAAAAATCATCAAAATCAGAGTTAAAATGACCGTTAAATCGTGATTTTTCTTTTTATAACCGTCGAAAAGTTTTGTCCCGTTAATTGATCTCTGAATGTTTGTTTTTTTAATTTTTGACGTATGCGATCTCGAAGTATATACAAACATGTTTGACGGTTGGATCTTTGAAACTAGTTTCGTAGAATGAGTATCCCATCAAAACAATAGATTCACTAATACTTAATAGTTTATTCATACTTTTATTAAGTATAACATAAGATTTTGTGGTATCCACTAGTGTAAATATTTTAAATTGAAGATCGAATTCAATCAATTCAATCATTGTATTCATATAATTATATTATTATATAATATATATATTATATTATTATATTTAGGGGTATAAAATTGTTAAATTAAATTATATATATATATATAATTATTATAGTATTTTTTTAGGGTTATAAATTATTAAATTAATATTCTGCTTATCGTGTATCGTGTTACCCACGTGTATACCCGAACAAACCCGTTATCTTAACAGGTGCTTATCGGGTTACCCGATAACGACCCGTTTCGTTATCGTGTCGACCCGAACACCTGTTAATTTCGTGTCGTGTCGTGTCGGGTTATCGGGTCGTGTCAGGAATTGCCAGGCCTAGGTGGGGGAAAGCGAAACCCTCCGTTCATCTTGGTTCATTTTTCCTTCCCATAGGAGACCAAGAAAAGCAGTAATTTCTGTTTAATTACATCTTCTTATGACAAATTTGCCCACTTTAATAAATAATAATGAGACTGTTAAGTAGGGGTATATTGGGAAAGATAAATATTTTTTATTATTATTGTGCCAATTAAATTAAACATGGAAAAATAAATAAAATTATACTTCCTAGCTACTTTCCCATGATTACCAAACAAGAAATAATCTTCAGATTTCCCATCCCCTAGAAAATTACATAGGGATTGATTTCCCATCAATTTCTTCCCGCGTACCAAATGGAGCCTAAGGAGAAAGAAATGGTGAGTTTGTCACGTCTAATGGCTAAAATAGCGCTTGCATATTGTACTTTGTTCTGTATAGCACAACATGTGTCATACAAAGTGTATTTGTGGCAACACACAATGCAACAGTGTATATGTACAACATAATGAATATATTATGTAATATTATTAGGATACTCCATCACATTAAACCGTATCTTTTTTAACTTATAAATACTTGGTTCAAGAGTAATTATGTAAGTAAACCTTTTTGATCAGAACAAATTAGGGGAAATCTATTGATGCAATCAAAATCCTCTGATATCTGATTAAAAAAACCTTTAATTAACATGATTCGTGAAGCATGCGTGCATACTTCTAGACAATTCCTACGAGGATATAAAAAATAATTCAAATTTTAATTTTCAAATTTTCAAAACGAATTCGCCTTTAATATTAAATGTGGAGTAAAAGAGAAACCAAAGGAAGCTGCATGTCAAGCCATTGAGAAATTTTTTAGCTTGCTGAAAACATAGTTTGTTATATCAAGTGTCATAATATAAGTGGTTAAATTTTTTTCAAGTATTCAACCAATTGTATTTGACACTTGATATATCGAATCGTGTTTTCGACACACTAAAAAATCATTTGAGGCCAACGTAAAACTGAAGTTTGAGTGCTGGGACACGTTCCCATCGGTACACACGCATGTGGGGGTTGGAAGTTTGGAACCAATGGAAACAGAAGGTTGTGGCACGAGTCTAACAAAGGCGTGGGAATGAAGAAAGGCCAATTGAAATCACAGTAAAATTGAAGGTGGTGGGAAAAGAAATAGCAAGATTTATGTGATGAAAATATAAAACGAAAAGAGGAAGCATTGAATTGAAATAGAAATTTGAGGCTGCCCTTTTGAGTGAGAGTAAATAGTGTGTGACTAAATGGGAAGGTTAGGTCACGAAGATGGTCACGTCCCCTTTATAAAAGAAAATGCATTCAAAAATTTGAAAACAAATAAAAACGCTTGCAAATAGTCCTTTACCACAGTGCTGGAAATATGTTGTGTCATTGCATGACTGCGTGGGTTCGAACCCCGTCGGTGGCTAATCTAACATTTAACTTACTAATGTTATCGTTTATTTCAAAAATAAAATAAAAATGCTTTGAAATTTTTGAAAAAATGAGTGAAGCGTGTGTAACATTCAATATTTCGCACTGGGTCTACAACATTGAATGGTGTCAAATTGTAAAAGGTGAAGGTAATGAGCTCGCCTCTCTAATGTAAACCAGAAGCTTAGATGTCAATGACTTGATTGAAATGAAAGTAAGAATTCATATCCGAAGTCATTGTTTGCCTCTGTTAGACACACTTACAAAAGTATAGGGGCCAAATTTGTATTTAACTCCTAAATACAAATACATAATGATAAGAATAAAAAAAATAAAAAAATAATAGTGTGGTCGTGTGTGGCCCTGTGGGCTTAAGTCTACACCAGCATCACTGATGCACTAATGTCATCTCATGGAATTCAGCGTTATTTTTCAAACTTGCGCTCATACCCGCGCACTATAAACTAAAGCAACCAAACAATCCATTGGTTTTTATTTATTAAAATATACGGTCCTTGAAAGTTTATTAGTTGTTGTAAAGATACAGAGAAACTTTGAAAAAAGCTCTCGCCCTCTCCTCCTCTCTCCAGTCCACCCTCTCACCGTTATGTCCAGTCCAGTCCAGTCTCATCCCAAAACTCGCACGACCCCTGATCGTATTTTCATCCCAAAATCTCTGTAAATTGTTTGAAATCGGTACAAATACGAATACCCGGATCCAATCCAATCTGTTTTTACAAGTATATGCACTGTTTGAGCATATATTTGTGATATAAACTCCGAACTCCAAAGGGGGTGCGGCTGAAAAGTTAGAATCCGAGGCCACTAAATCCAATCCCGGAAGGAGATTGGATAGCTTTTGAGGTGTGGCTTTCTATTGGGGTTTGGCTATTTTATTCTATAGCTGAAAAAGACTCTGGCTTTAGTAGTATTATGCAACTTGGTTTGGATAAAGGGGTCATCTGGGAGCGTAAGAGAGAGAGAGAGAGACTGAGGAGTGAGCAACTGTGAGATAGAGTGAGAGAGAGACAGGCGAAATTAAAAACCCAAATGCCGCAGGAGGAGTCAAAGAAGAAGGAGCGCCATATCGTTACTTGGTCTCAAGAGGTGGTCTTTTCATCTCTCTCTCTCTCTCTCTCTCTCTCTTCTCTCACATTGGATTGTTTTGAGTTCTGGGTTTTGATCAAGACACCCAATTATGTTTCTTTGGTTTATTTCTGACATGGGTTATGGTTGTTCTTTTGAGTTGCAGGAGGATGACATACTGAGGAATCAAATAAGCCTCCATGGAACAGAAAAGTAAGTTTCTTGTTTTTCTCACCTGGGTTGGTTTTACAATTTTTCTTTACATTTATTCAATTAAATTATCATTTTATTGGTAGAAAATTAATTGAAGGCTATGTTTTTGTGATCAATTTCTGTGCAGTTGGGCTGTCATTGCATCTAAATTCAAGGATAAAACAACCAGACAGTGCAGGAGAAGGTAATTTCAAACCCAATGTTGACGTTTGAGTTGAGTTCTGCTGAGAAATCCTCTGTTTTTTCATTACCTACTCAATTATTGAGGTCTAATTGTTTTGACTGCTAATTTTTTATTTTTTATTTTTGGTCTGAAATTTGACAAATAATGTTCCAGATGGTACACATACTTGAATTCTGACTTCAAGAAGGGAGGATGGTCACCAGAGGAAGACATGCTCTTGTGCGAGGTACTTGATGACAGTAGCTTAGAATATTGTTGTGCGCTGTAGATTAGAGTAATTTAGAATATTGCCTCGTCAAAAAGATGAAATTCTTCCACTTTATGCATGCTTAAATGGTTTAAGGAGAAAGATAAATCATCAAAACTTGATTGTTGAGAAGATTTAATCATTTTCTGTAATGTGACCAAGTAGGCCAGGCCTGGTGATTGCACTGCATGTCTTTCCTAAAGTTGAACAGAAAAAACCACCACTGTTTATTCAGCATTAAATATTATTACCCTCATCATTGGATCATTGGATGTGGTAGAAACCTAATTGCTCAAGGTGATCGGATTGCAGGCTCAGAAGATATTCGGGAACAGATGGACAGAAATAGCAAAGGTGGTTTCAGGAAGGTATATTAGCTTTCTTTTTTCTCCTCCTGAAATACCTTAGCTCGATCTAACGACACAATTAAGATCATAAATTGTCCTCCTTATGCAGAACTGACAATGCCGTGAAAAACCGGTTTTCAACTTTGTGCAAGAAGAGAGCAAAATATGAGGCCTTAGCTAAAGAAAATGCAAATTCGTACATTAATCAAAATGACAAAAGGGTCATAATACGAAATGGATTCAATACAGATGGAACAACAGAAACAACAGCACCACCTAAGAAGATGAGGTAAAATTACATCTTTAATCTATGTACAAAAATGTTGATTTGGTTACTGCTCAATGTAGTAGAACTCATTCTTTGTGCAACGCAGGAGAAGCCACATCCCTATTCTCTCCAAAAATTGCACCTCTGGGGACAGACTACCTGATCAGTGTGGAAAGATAAATCAGCAGCTAAGACCTCCGTTTACTGTGTTGATTCAGAATGCTCACAATGTAGAGAATCTGCAAGACCAGCATAACGGGCATAGCATCAAGGAAGTCCCCGGGAATGGTAAATCACCTCAAATTGAAACTTGTTCGGCAACTCATCAGATTTCTTTACAATGCCTGAAAAGCACATTGCAGGAAATGTGTGAGAACATAAGCAAATTGTTTGTATTGGGTCAGCAGAAAGTTGGCCTATTTATCATTTGAAAATTCATTATGCATTGATTTATATGTTTTCAACTACAAAACTCTAAGGTCACTCTTACGTTCATTTATCAGCAGTACAAAATAGCAAGTTTCAAGGATCATTTCTCGAGAAGGATGACCCGAAGATAATTGCTTTGATGCAACAAGCGGAGTTGCTCAGCTCGCTGGCATTAAAAGTTAACTCAGAGAACACAGACCAGAGTCTTGAAAATGCTTGGATGGTGAGAAATAATTATCCATTTGCTGTGGTCCTGTGGACTGAGCAATTAACATTTAATTGCTTGGTTTTTAAAAATCGTAGGAACATATAAATATACATATAACTCACATATATTGTGAATGTGATATTCAGATGCCTTTAGTACTGGATTCCTCCATATCTAGTTCAGAGAGTAAAACAGATTCAAGTCTGGTGCCAAATTGAGTATGCATATCCTCTAACATACATCAAATGTGATATTCAGGTGCTCCAAGATTTCTTGAATCAAAGCAAAGATAGTGACATCCTCAGTTATGGAATTGACGATTTTGATTTTCAACTCGAAGATCTTAAATATCTGTTAGAGGACTTAAGGAGTACTACTGAGGGAAGCCGACCATCTTGGCAGTAAGAAATGTGACTTAGACTACTATTCTTATATGAGCATGTTTAAACCACTGTACACCATCTAATTGGTGACATATATATTTCAGGCAGCCAGATCTATTCGACGACTCTCCAGGAAGTTCAGAATACAGTACAGGGTCAACTCTTCTGTCCCAAACAGAATGCTATCAAGTGGAACAAAATGAAGTTGAAATAGGTTCACCGAATCAGGAGATTCGACTAGGGTCACACTCAATTCCTATTGAAGGGCAAAATGATGTTAGTGATTGTGAGAAAGGGATTGTTTCCGAAAAGCAAGGTAATGGATTAACATATAAGATATGTTGGCTGATCACATTTCCTACTCAATCAGATTTGCTGATAACCTATTTAATATTTCTTTCCGCAGAGATATTTCCATCATGTGATGAAGGAAGAAAAGACTACGCAGTTGTTTCTGCGTTGTCAAATACCGAGTTCACTTCTCCTTTTAAAGTTGTCCCATTGTTCAGATCCTTGGCAGCAGGAATTCCTAGCCCAAAATTTTCTGAAAGTGTAAGTTGTCTCAGAAGTTCAACTCTATTAAACAATAAGCTATTAGTTTTAATGGTTGCAGAAGAAGTGGTATTAGTAATGATGCTTAACGTTGTTTCAAGTCACCCCGCTGGAATCTAGGTGAAGCAATGCAATGCTTAACCAATGTCCAGGTGATGCTAAGAAAACATATAGCAGAACACAAATATTCGATTCTAGGCATCTTAGACAGACGCGTGTTTGCATCAGTTAGAAAAAAAATAGGAGCTACAAAACTATGCTTTCATTTACAATATGCACCACGAACTATTGAAATCCAAGTACATTAGAATAGTTTGGCCACCATGCTCAGCCAGCCTTGTTCCAAAATTCTACCCGCAAGCTTAAATTTGGAAACCTCAGTCTCTGTGGCTTCTTATTTGCCTCATAGAACAAGTTCTTAACTTCTTATGGTACGAATGCATGACATTGTATGGATTAAGACTGACCACTTATGTGTTGAATATTTCAGGAGAGGAATTTCTTGCTCAAAACGCTTGGAGAGGACTCCCCCTGCCCCATCCCAAGCACCAATCCTTCACAACCGCCACCCTGCAAACGATCCCTCCTCCAAAGTCTATAACCAACCTTTTTGATCCACCACCTCATATATAGAAATTTTACATGGCCCATTGAGTTCGTGTCCATTTTGGATTCCTCTTTTCTTTGGATTCCTCTTTTCTTAGGATTGCAGCCATTCCAGCCTAAAATTTTACAAATGGGCAGGTAAAGATCTGCTTCCCAAAACCCAGATCTAGAATGCAATGGTGCATTTTAGCATTTGCAAACGTATCTAACATAGTTTTCTGCATTATTTTGACCTATGCAGAGTTACCTCCTTCAGAGTTCCTAATCGGTACTCGCTTTTTGTGTGTTTGGTGTGTCATTCTTTAGTTTGCCTCTCATCATCCGATATGTTTTCCGAGTGTTCCATTTTTTGGCCTTGATTTTTACAGTTGTACAGAACCTGCTATGTCCCTAGTCATTCAAGAGTGTAAGACTACTGTAAGTATACATAGTCAGCTTGCCTATATTTTCCGCTAGAGTACATTATCAAAACAAAACAGAGAGAAAGAGAAGAAGAAGAAAACAAGAAAAAAAATGAGAGAGGATTAACCAGTTCCAGTGGATTCCTGTTTATCGTTTTTCCGGCGTGGAAAACGGGTACATAATAGGTTGATATTTTTTCCTTCTTTGGTTTGATTTCCCCCCATGATTTCTGATGTAACAAAACTTAATGTAATTGGAGTGAAAATGGTTTTGGTTTTGGTGTGCACTTCTTTCTTTTGTTCTACTCTTTCTTCCTAGAATTAAGACATGAACTGATGAACACATCTCTAATCAAGCGGCTCGTAGCTCAGTTGGTCAAGATATTTACCTTTGCATCTGAGGTGCCGAGTTTGAATCTCCCCTCCCCCACTATCGCTTGTGTCAAAGATGAACACATCTAGGAAGTGTGAAGTAATGTTAGAACATTCAGCATCAGAAAACTAAGAAACCGACTCGCACACAGATGCAGGATGAATGAGTTTCATTCAAAATAAGGAACGGAACAAGAAATCCGAAAAAAAAATGGGCGTAAAAGTAGGCAAAATTTGAGCCAGGAAGAAGGAAGCCATTGGTTTTACTTACCAGAGGGTTATGGCAGGCGTGAAGGAAGCTCCCAGTCTTCGGTTCTTCTGTCTTGATAGTGTGTTGAAGTGGGGAAGAAGGGTAGCGAGACCAAAAACTGTGTTTGGTGGTGGTGGTGGACAAGTATGATTAGGAAGAAAGGAAAAGCAAAGTGGTAAAAGAGGGAGGGAAATCTCTACAAAATAAAGGGCACTTGTAATCATTTGCTGTAAACTTTCTCGAGTGAAGGTATACGAGCACAAATTGGCACCTTTGACCTCTCAACCCCAACATAAAATTGTTTGATCTCAAGGATAAACCAGTAATAAAATTAATAACCTTAGTTAAATAATCCTTTTGGCCAGTCCTGATTTGGGAATAACGTGCTAAATTAATAATTCGCTAAATTCATAAGACAATACATTATAGAAAATTTATATAGGTCTCCCGTAATATATAAATTAATAATTTTCTGACACATAGTGCTTATGTTTCGACTACGAGGCCTTCCTAAAATATGACTCAATCATTGTTTGTTTATTTTTGAAATTGACGTCACCTTTGATCTCATCTCTAACTTTTCTTAACATGATAAGAAGGTATGGTGTGGATTTTTCATCTCGAATTATTCAATGTCATCGCCGCTCTCAGAGCTTTTATTTTTTGCGAAACGGGCTCCATAGTAGAACCATCGTCTTCGACTCCATTACCTTGATCACTTCCCACGACGCTCAATAGTTTGTTCGTCAGTCAACATCTCTGAAGTTGTGTTTACTCCAGGGTAGTTCAAGATGTCCTCGACATCCATCCCATTACGATAATTCAACTCTTTGATTGCCACCAAAACATTACTAATGAGAAAGCGTACATTACAAAAAGTTTAGAATACTCTCTCTATAGCTATAGAGGGTCTGTTCAATTACAAATTGCTTGATACGACTACGGAGGGAAAGAACAAGAGATGTAAAATTTGGGAAAGAAGGGTTGTGAATATGTAAGATCAAAATTGTTATTACATTGGCTTTCTCTTCTTCGGCGCTCTCTGCGATTTCCTCCACTTGTGGTAGATGTGATACGACAGCCCAGAAAACACCATGACGACAGACCCCCATTGCTTAGTTGACAGGGGATTGCCACTCAGCAACGAAGACACCACGATGCTTACAAACTTGCGGGTTGTGGTAATGGTGGTGTTAGCTAAGGAACCGAAACGACTTATGGTTAGGAAAATGAAGTTCTGCCCAACTGCACCACAGAGACAATAGAGAAAAATGTCCCAAGCTGCTTCCGGATGCTGCTTGCAGAACTGAACCGACTCAAATCCGCTGCCATGTGGCCAGCCAAACATGTAGATCATGTTGTATATGGTACCCCATAAATTCATGCCTAGCATTATTTCCCAAGCGCTCGTCTTTGGATACCTGGGCAAACACAAAGCTATGACATTTGAGACTGAATTCTCCATATCAATCATGTACGGATGGCTCAACGTAACAATTTCACAGATCTATTTCTATAAACAATATATAGAGGATCGGCATAAAAACTCCCTCAAGCATTCTCGAAAGCAGGGGGTTGCAAATGTTGATAAACAGTTTAAATAACGCCAAGAATCCAGTCAGTGAATAACAGAAAGGCAACAACTAGTTAAATGGTAGGAGAAAGATGATGTTGTTCTGAAGTATACCTTGCTTTTATTGAATCCTGGGTAGCATTTGTGAATCCATCAAAAGCAAGATTGAGGAAACATAGTCCATATCCAAGGGGAGCATTTGGGTGTGCCAACTTGCTAATCGTCTTTGAGCTAGTCTGGAATTGACCGAATGAGAAAAACATAATAACAACAACATAAATTGCATGAAATTCATTGAGGACAATTTATAGAAGGAAAATTGAAAGAGAAAACGTAAAAATTATTTAATTCTCGTTCCATTCTCAAGAAATACACACAAGCACACACACCATCCCTCACCTTCAAGAGTGCAAATATGGATACCCCTCCGGCAACAAGGAGAGTACAAACATATTCAGGAAAGCTGTATCTTTTGCCGTAGACTAGAGTACCCATCAGCATCACTGCATACAAATAATAACCATTTATTACTTATTTATGTACGAAATTTAAAGGTTGATCTAATCAGTATGATATTCCACAATCTTAATTGAACTTAATAATGAGTAACATGCTTGCTTTAGTAAGATATAGAAGAGTAATAAACTTGAAAATATCTGACCTGGAATCATTTTTGAGGACTTTGCCAAGACCTGCAAGTAAACAGAACAGCTTAAATATCCAAAACTATAGATCCTTTTAATTGGCGTTACTTAAAAACCACAAGAACGAAACTTTTCACAAACTCCATTCTCCTCAATCCTTCAACAACCAATTCAACACCCTGATTAACTCAACTCAACTAGTCATTAATCCAAAATAACGGGGTCGGCCCTAAACCATTTTCTGCCAATGATTTTATCCAGAGGAAATGAACAGCTCCATAACATATATGACAATCATTTGCTTCCTCGCTAATTAGATCCTAAGAAACTCAAATCAAGTAAACTAGACCTAGGACACACAACCATCAATTCTTCCTATAACCATTACTATGTTCTCTAATGTTGACCATTTACTATATATTCTCTAATGCTACCCATTTGGGCAACTGGATCCAAATTGGAAAGCAAACCTGAGCCGGGTAACTGATATACTTCAACGCTTCGATCCCCATAGCGGGTCCAATCGTGTTAGTAATCCCGGCACTCCAGTACGTCCACATAGGCGCACCTCCAGCATTACCGCTAGACCAAAGCTTTAACACTATTCAAGGAAACCCACATGACAATATTATCACCCAATTCGTTTCTTCAGCTCAAATCAATCCACAATACAAGAAATTCAAGATTTTTCAGGGAGATTGAAACTTACTTATATATGACCAGATTAGACAAACCACATTTTGGGCTAAGTTGAGGAACGCAAGGTGTTCGAACCTATTCCCATCTGGCCCGAATCGCTTCGTGGACCTAAAAACAAAGATCACAACATCACCAATTTTGATTAACTTCATCGATCAATTCGGAAAACAATTTCAGGAGCTGAAAATCTCCAAAACAAGGGTGCGTGATCTGGGAAATCCCCAAATGCAGATAGAAAGAAAAAATAAGACTTACAGGGTTTCCTGAAGCACGCCTTGGTAGATATAAGCAGACCAAATTCCGACGACGCAGAATCCGAACACCAACACGCGCCGGAGCCCCGATCCGTGCGTTTCCATTTCAGCCCCCAATAAGTAAATGTGGCCGGAAATACCTCCTGATCCGGCCTCCTCTCTCTTCCCCTCTTTTTTTTCAAATGAAGCAAGATAATTAGGGTTTCAGATGAGAAGGTTTAAGAGGAAGCCAGAAGAATATTAGCAGAATGATTCTGGGTAAATAACTCCCACAATTCAGGAAAGGCGAAGAGACCGTTGATATAGGCGGGAGCGCCAACTCTACGTGGCTTTGTCTACGTGGAGGGTTTCAATTGGTTGGGTGACACTGCGTCGCTTCTCATTGGCTGCGCAAACGCGGACCCTGGCAGTTGGCCGGTATTGCTACTTTCTACTATTTAACTCCTCAGGCACTGTATTACTTTTTACTTAACTAAGAATGTCTTAGGTTCGATTCTCTTCAAGGGTGAAGCTAAACCGCATCATTATGCAAACTCATTGTAAGACTTAGCCCACTCTCCCATTTCTTTAATATAGATATTATCGTTTGTTAAAAAAAAAAAAAATCCTCCTCAAAAGCTAGTCCCTCTCTCAAATTACCGATAAATTACGTTGTTTTTTGGAGTTTTAACGAAACACTTCCTGTACTGTTCATTTTTAACGAAAGAAACATTTTTACTCTAAAAAGTCACTTCTTATACTATTCATTTACAACACATTTTTGTCATTTTGATTAAAACTCAAAGTTTTTAAGTCATTTTCATTAGTTTTCCTTTGTTTTTTTCTCCTTTGTCCTTATATTATAAATAGTAATTCGTTATTTAATTATATGTGCAAACAATTTTAAGTGACAATGTTTGAATGTTATATAGCGAGTGGTTTTTTATGATTAATCTAGTTGGAGCCATCCATTTGCACGCCACATCATCGTACTAGCAAAAAAATTGACAGAAAGACAATAGATAGAATGACGAAACAAATTTGCACAAAAATTTCGTTCCTCCCTACTATCGTTTGTATATTCACGAAAGTTCTTTGAATTTTCGAAAAATCACATTGTTTCTCCCTACCCATTTATTTGTTGATGCCAAGTATTCAAGTCGATACTAAATACATAGCTCTCGTAGCTCGAGAAGAACTTACATACACCATTGGAACACCATGCGTTTTAACTTTTTTACATAAATCGCTCGAGATAATAATAAGTTTGTGACACCGTCATTTCATGCAAATCTTTCTCCGGTAACTCGGTTGAATAGACTGAATAGAGCAGCAGGCCGGAGAGTACGCCAAGCCCTAGTAATGTGGCCCGAAACGCTTCATGAACCTAAACACAAACATCTCTGGGCCCAGGCGCCATCCTGCTGCAGTTCCTTCTTCTTCTTCTTCTTCTTCGAGGAGGAGGACCTAGACCCACGGAGGTGACAGGTCAGGTCAACATTCTTTGGCTACTAACACCGCCATGTGATTGGAGTCCGCTACTTGGAGTATCCGACACGGCTATGTGTCCCATGTTTTGGAGACTCACTTACTGTTGTCATATGACCATTCAAGCTAGAAAGTTAAAAGGGATGTGCTATCCACACATTTCTTTTTACTTCCTACACACTCTTTGTTAATTTTTGTCCCTTGATCTTCTTTAATCCATCTGATCCGATGGCTAAAAATTAAAAGAGTGTGTAAGAAGTAAAAAAAGATGTGTGGATATCACTTCCCGAGTTAAAATACATAACTATCATATGGAATGTTGTCCAAACGACATATCAATGTACATATACTTATTTTTATAGTTGTTGTTGTGACGTTCTATGTTAACAATACATTATTTGTTTTAAGTTTATTTTATATTTAACCATATATCATTAGTGGGGAATGTCATATTTTCGATGTTAGGTCATGTCTAATGGAGAGCACTAAAGGTCTCAAAGCTAAACAAATGACATGATTTGTTAAAAACCTCATATCAACCGATGACTGGGTTATAAGTCTGTGGAGCCTCACTAGACCATTATTTGGCTAAAGGGGCATCAGGTTGGCCAAATGTAGCCTTCTCCTTAGCCTTTTTCGGGGCTCGACTCCTCAGGTGCAATAATTGATTCAAATACAACAGCAAAGATATTTTAATTAACCAATAAACTTAAAACTAATAAGTTATTGAGGAGTTATGTTTAGTTTATTCGATTGTATATGATATATAAGTATGGTTTGACACGGTTAATTTAAAACTAATTTTTTTACAAGATTATAATTTTGGACGGGACCATGTTTAATCATTTCTGATTGAAATGGCTTTATAGTGACGTCATAATCATAGACACAATAACATGACACATGTCCTGGTTCTGGTTGGGCAGGTGGGAGAGGTGGTTACGGGCTGCTTTCCTCATCTACTCCTCTGAGTCCCCCCTATCACCGTCTTTCCATGGTACTTTCTTCCTCCTGCAGTAATCAGCACAACTGGACAAGTAACATTTCCCTCTTCCTCTTCTTTTTTTCTTTCTTAAATTGCACTTTCCAATTCTTTCTTTTTAAGACAACGGATAATAAGTTACGATTATTTATCTTTTTGGAATGCTAGAAAAATTAATATAGGTATTTTAGTCTTTTTTGGTTACAAGTATAGCTTCCACATCAGCAGCAGGTTTCAAACCTGAGACCTCAAGCTTTTAATTTGAAAAAAGCCTTGAAATCCGTTTTTTACCATTGAGCCACCAGCTCGTGGTTACTTTCCCATTGTTTTAAGGAGGCAGATTGTCTGCCCTCCTTTTACCATACCCTTCTCATCCCCTCATGTGTTGTGTGGTCACGGTTAAATCATGTCAACATTTTATATTGATTTTTTTATAAAAATAATAAGATAAAAAATAATAAAAATATAAAATATTGACGTGATTTAACCGTGACCGTACAAATAGGAAGGGATGAAAAATGTATGGTATTGGAAGGGCACTTGTTTTAAGATGTAGAAAAAAGTAGAACACAGAATTATCTGAAGGAAAGCATCTACCTACTATATTAGTAGTGGCAGTTAGGTCGAGTGTGAAAACGGTTGGCGCATGCAAAGAATTTGCAGTCAAGGCATATATCAAATTTCTACGCCATCAAGTACCTTTTTTTATATTTCAATTTGTCACATGTTGCCTCCTCTCTAATTATTAGCTATTGATTCTCGTTGGCCAACAGCCTTCACACGGCCCATTATTTACATTCCCAAAATACCCCCAATGATTTGTTAATTGATCCTATGTCCAGTTATATAGTTCTTTTATTTTTTTAAGTGCCGATTAAAGAAATGGGGAGACTTTCTTAAAAATATGACTTTATATAATTTTTTGTCACTTTATATTTTTAACATAATGTTTTATAATATCAATAAAAAAAATTAGCATTAACTTATAAAACGGCAAAAAATACTTAAAGAATCATACTTGAGAGCGTTCGACTAGCATTTTTCGTGCTAATGATTAACACAATTATTATATTTGAGAAGGTATCAATCCCAAATAAACAAATATAAAAAAGGGAATTGTTATTAGCACCTCAAAAATCTCATTCTACACTCCTCACAAATGTATTTTTCTTTCTAGTTATATAAAGTTTAGAGTGCCAAATGAGATTTTTGGAGTACTAATAACAATTCCCTAAAAAAATAAGAGCACTAACTGTTTTCATTGACTAAATAAAGAATGAAAATCAAGATACATTTTTAATCAACTAACACTTTTCTATCTCACACATACTTTATGAATTAGTAGTGTGAACTTGCAATTTGGGGTTGTAAAAGCTTTGTGGGGATCCTAACCGTTCATTGTACATCGTGTCGTTATTTTTTATCAAATACTGTTTGTGTTTAATTTTATATAAAAAAATCAAATTATTTATAATCTCACGATACACGATAAATAACTAAGATGTGGGGATTCCTAAGATCCTCACAAAGTAGATCCGGATGGGATCCAATTCCGTAAAAGCATATTAGATGTACACTATTTATTAATTAAGCACAAGTGGATGAAGAATATGTCGGATGAAATGTCATTTTCGTGATTATTTTGACGAGAAATAGTATCTCTTATGAGTAGTGCTACACTTACAATTTTTTTTTTTGTCGAAGCTACACTTATCATTTACTTATACCATCTTTTTAATAGAGGTAAGGTTTGTCAACGCAAGTAGATCCTATCTCTGTTAGATAGATAATACAAATAGCTGATAAGACTAACATTTTTTATCTCTTATATTTGGATTCTACATGTTTCTATCTCGTTTTATTTGTGGTAATACATTTTTGGTCAGAGCAATCACACAAATATTACCTAATTCATGAGCTAAGATCTTGAACTCCATGATTTTCACAAATGATTAATGTAGAATACATAAATTACATTTCTCGATAATTTGTCATGAAATGTCTTCTACAACATCTATCTTGAGCGGTCTGTAAACAAGCCATCAATGTGGAGGAAATTAGATTTTCTCTCTCTAACCTTACTTGCATGTTAAAACCCTAATATGTGTTTTTCTCCGGGATACACATTAGATGAGTATGTGCACTCTTATAAGCAAAGAGAAGACTCATTTCCTAATGTAGCCCATCATTAATTACTACCCATAACGATAATAAAATAGAAAACCATTTCTCATAATTTGACCAATAAGTTTACTTTCAAAACAATATTCATTAAACCGAATACATCACACATAAACCTTGTTATGTGGACCACACTAAAATATTAAAATATTCTTACAAGTCTACCATAACCACTTTGTCTATGGTGGTGAGCCTCCTCCTCTTGTGGATAGGTTAATCTTTGAGGATGATATTGGGTTTCTTCAAACGCATTTTGTAAAGAGTTAGTTGCTTTTCTTAGAACTTTTGACCCCAATTTTACCAAAAACAATTTCATGAGTGTTGTTATTTTATATTAAATATATATTTTACTTCACTATCAAAGTAAAAGGGATTATTCTTTTCTTCTTTGACTATTACAAAGTTGACTAAAGAGAGTTGAATTAATTAAGAGAACTTTAACGAAAAACTCTCAGTATTATTTATTTTAACGAAAAGTAATATTTTTACACTAAAAAGTCAATCTTGGTACTATTCACTTTATCATTTATTTTGTCCTTATCATTAAAATTCAAAAATTTCAAACAATTTTCATTAGTCTTCCTATTAATTAAAGAGTTGCACACTAATGCAAGCCATGTGCATACATATGCACTCAATCACTTTCCCACTAAACATGCCATGACATCCATCTAGAATAACACTTGTAGTTAAAAATCATATTATCATTCCTACAAGTTATACATTACTATAATATTTAATTTTTCAAGTGTCTACCAATCACAAATAGGTATTTAAATATTTTAGTGTCAGGCAGCCTATATTCGCATGTTACTAATCGATTCTATTATAAGTCAACACTAACCAATTATCATTGACATTGTGAATAATTTTAATAAAAAAGGTTGTCATTTTAGAGTTCGTTTTGAAGTACTTTTAAAACGACTTGGAGAGAAAATTTTTTTTTTTTAGGATTCCCTTACGTTTTTAATAAAAATTGATTTTAAAAATATTTTCACATAAAACGTTTTCTAGTTACCGTCAAACGTGTCCTCAATTGATCAATCTCATAACATTTCATTTTGGGAGGGGGAGGGTGTTACTAATGTCTGAACTCTGAAGATGAAGTATTCATGACGGTTGGACCACGTCAACCGATGTGGTACATGGATATAAGCATGACAGAGTTCAATGAAAGTACACAAAGGGTATTTTCGTTATTTTGATTAATGATGTCAATCTTGACATGGTACAAGTCCACACCACACAAGGGTACAAAAGAGAATTCACACACAAGTAAAGTCGCGTGCACGTCACAGCCCCCACGCGTTTGTCGCGTCTCTTAGTCAAGGGGAAGCAAACAGAGACACTCATTCCGCCCCCCCTGCCAATTTCTTCTCAGTTGCCATTTCTCGCATTGACACGCTCTTTCTCCTTCTTCTTCTCCTCACATTTTTCTGATTTAATTTTTTCCAACAAGGTCAGCTCGATCGAAGAAAACCCAGAAGAAGAAGAAGTCAGCTGCAGTTTCTTATACGGATTGAAATTTGTTTGCAATGACTTGCTGATTGTTCGGCTGGTGTTTGATAAAAGTCAGTAAAAGAAGAGCGCCTTTGAGCTTTTGGAGTGGCAAATGGGCAACTGTTTAGATTCTTCTGCTAAAGTCGACACCGCACAGAGCTCCCTTGGAACTTGGGGTAAGTTTTCAATGCTTTGCTATGAAAAAAACCTTGATTTTCATAAGCTGGTCTTATGTTTTGATGGGTATATATGTTACTTTGATGGGTATTTTTAGTGACTTTCTGAGAGTTTGTATTAGTTTAAAGCAGTGAAATTTTGGTGGGTTCAGTTGGTTTTTACTGGATTAGTAAGTGGTGTTCTTTTTGGGTTCTGGGTAGCTTAGTTCATCTCTGGAGTAAAATTCTGCTATGTATTGAAAGAAGTCTCTCTCTCTCTCTCTCTCTCTCTCTCTCTGTATTTCTGGAGATTGGTTAATTTGTTCTTCTTTTGTTATCTGTTAATTATTAATTCTTTGTTTTGTATGTTAGTTTTTGCAATGGATTATTAATTTTGAATATCATTTAGAAAGGTGGAAAATTTTCAGGGTTTTTTAATTTGTTTTTTAATGTGTAAATCAATATGATATTTTGCCCTTTTGAGGAGAATATAGGAACACGTTGAAGACAGCTTTATATGATTTTGTCATTATTTGGTGATGCGCAATGTGCTTTTAGTAAATTTTATTAGCTGATAATTGTTACAATTTTACTCGGTTTGCATTTGCCCTGAAATGGGGGCAAACTGTGAAAGTGATTCAGACATTCATTTTGTTCTTTTACGATGATCATGTAAAGGATAGGCGTCAATGGCACGCTAAGGTCTCTAGAATCAAAGACTTTAGCAACAATTGGGCCCTGAGGGGAAAAGTTTGGTGGTCCTTTGTACGAAACAGAATTGGTTTTTATGCTTCACAAGATTCGTTCATCGTTTACTAGTGATCATTGGAACATGGAGCCAAGATGCTTAATTTAAGGTGTTTGGTGAGCCAGGCCAGCTGGTATCTTTCTTTGAGACCACCTGATCACTCAAAACCCTGTACCTTGATCGACAAGTTTACATTGGTCCTTTTAGAAACATTAAAAGAATTTACAATCAATCGTTTCATTTTGTTCCTCGAAAATTTTGAATTAATTTGCTTAAGTATCTTAATACTCTAGTAGATTTGTACTATATATGACATTTCTTAAGGAATGCTATAAGTTGGTGTAGGTTTACATCCTTTTCCCCACAAACTGATTATTGATTATTGATTACTTGACCTGGCAGGATCAGGGGCTTCCAAAGTTTCCAACAAAACTAGCCCTTCCTCAGCTCCCTCCACTTTGACCGTCCCGTCATATAATGGAAGGAGCAGTGGTTCAAGTCTTCCTACCCCAAGGACTGAAGGAGAAATATTGTCATCTCCAAATTTGAAAGCCTTCTCATTCAATGAGCTAAAGAATGCCACCCGAAACTTCCGCCCTGACAGTCTTCTCGGTGAAGGAGGATTTGGTTATGTTTTCAAAGGATGGATTAATGAGAACACGTGGACAGCTGCAAAACCAGGGTCCGGAATGGTTGTTGCTGTCAAGAAGCTCAAACCTGAGGGTTTCCAAGGCCACAAGGAGTGGTTGGTAGGTTTCTTCTTTAACAATTTTCTGTATGTCTGTTGCGTTTCAATTCTCATTCTTGGCTTATGTACTGATAGCTAATGAATTTCAGACAGAAGTAAATTATCTTGGTCAACTCCATCATCCAAATCTGGTTAAGCTTATCGGGTACTGCTTGGAGGGTGAGAACCGCCTTTTGGTGTATGAGTTCATGCCGAAAGGAAGCTTAGAGAATCATCTGTTTAGAAGTAAGTGATGTATTTCTTCTAGTTCTAACATTAATAGGAAGCATAGTTCCCCAGCCCCTCCTCTCACAATTGTTTAGTTATCTGGAAGAGTCCACTTTTATGCATATTTTCTTGCAAATAAACAACAGTTGTGTTGCCAATTTTAAGAAGAAACTCCTTTGTTTTGGCCTTGAAAACTTTGTAATGTTGAACTTTTCTATATGTTTCACAGGAGGGCCGCAACCACTTTCATGGGCAACAAGAATGAAAGTAGCCATAGGCGCTGCAAGGGGGCTCAGTTTTCTTCACGAGGCGGAATCACAAGTCATATATCGTGATTTTAAGGCTTCCAATATTTTACTAGATTCGGTATGTTAAACAAATAGGAAATCTAGCTCATCACATTAGTCATCATGTTTAATAATCATATGATTAGATTGGATAAATCATTGACATAAATGTTGCATTGTGGGTGCAGGAATTCAACGCGAAGCTTTCTGATTTTGGCTTGGCCAAGGCTGGTCCCACTGGTGACAGGACTCATGTGTCTACTCAAGTCATGGGTACTCAAGGCTATGCTGCACCCGAATATGTAGCTACAGGTATGTTTAATTACTATATGCAGTATTATTGGGGTTTTACTTTTGTTATATATGACCAGTGATCACTGTCAAACATCCCTGAGTCATAGTACATACTATATATCTTGTTGGGAAAGCTGATATTGCGAGTGTCTGAGTATGCTATAACTATGGAATTTTGTACGTGAACCTCTGACGTTGTACCAAATTACCTATAATCGGGATTGGTCATCTTTAACCTTTTGATTAGAGGATATCCACCTTGGTGCCCATTTGACTGACTAATAGGAGGTTGTTTCAATACTTTCTCTGAGGTGAAAGAATAATGATTCTTTGGACCTATATATAAATAGTGTGATTTCACATTGGGAATTTTTGCTCATATATTAATTCACAAGGTTGAGAAAGAAAAAGTTAAAGCTTTTGAGTTGCATCTGATAGTTGAACGGCACAAATTTGATTAATCTAAATTATTTGTCATTAAGATTTCCTTAAGGCAGAACTTTGGTAAACTGGGCTATGTAATGTAAGCTATTGTTGTAGCAGATACGATGCAGAGAATCTTAAGTGCTTGAATTCACTATGTTCGCAACACATTATAATGCTTCTGTAGATGTCTCACACGCATTTTCACTGTTTAACAGGTAGGTTGACTGCTAAAAGTGATGTCTATAGTTTTGGGGTTGTACTGCTGGAACTATTGTCTGGAAGGCGAGCTGTTGATAAAACAAAAGTTGGTGTGGAGCAGAATCTGGTAGATTGGACGAAACCATATTTGGGTGATAAAAGAAAACTATTTCGGATTATGGATACCAAGTTGGAGGGCCAATATCCCCAGAAAGCAGCTTATACAGCTGCTACTCTTGCTTCACAATGCCTATGCACCGAATCTAAACTCAGGCCTACAATGTCAGTGGTATTAGCCACGCTGGAACAACTTGAATCCCCAAAGACTGCAGCCAGAAACTCTCAATCAGAACAGCACACACTTCCTGTTCCTCGGAAGTCGCCAATGCGACAACACCATTCTCCTCTCAATATGCCACCAAATGCATCCCCATTGGCATCCCAAAGGCAATCTGTACGTGTTCGTTAACAGAGATGGTGTCTTTCTGTAAATTACTTGTCTCTTGATCCCATATTATGTTCACAGAATCGAGTTTGGGCATGTATTTTTCTCAGTTTTGAGTCATTCTGAAGAGGTTACTACCGCCTGTAATATCTGAAGCTATGTAGCTATTTTGTATTGGTAATCTGCTTGATGGTATAGTGTAAAAAGTTGGCTATCAGTTTAATTCTGCAGGATGACCGACGTTCTTGTCCTGTCACAACTGCCGGCGTCAAATTATCCTGGCGCCAATACATGCTAGTCTCGCGCTAGTAAATATTGTGTTATCTGTAATTATAGTTTGCTAATTCATGAACAAGTGCTGCCTTTGCTTTCACCATATAGTTTTAGTGGACATTCACGCATTTTAGGATAGCACTACGAAGGAAAACAGCTATCTATATGCCTGGCACCCATTTCGTAACATGGCCTGAAATCCGATTGCTGCCTGTGTTTTCATGCAACTCCTCCAAATCAGCTACGACCTCAGTCATCGTTGGTCTGCTCTTAGGGTTTGAATCGAGGCATCGGAGGATGAGTTCAGCAAACTTGTGAGCTTCTTCCACCGGGAAGTTGTTTCCAAGTCTCTGATCAATCACACGATGCAGTTGTAGCCGGTTGCGAAGATACGGTTCAGCCCACTTGGTAAGATCACCAGTCATCCCATCCGAATATTTCTTCACGGCGCAGGAGCCTGAAAAGATCTCTAAGAGCACCACGCCGAAGCTGTATACGTCGGTTTTGAGTGTTACATGCCCTGTAAAAATGAAAACCAAATTAGCCCTCTGGAGAAATGAAATGTCTGGCAGCATGTACTAGGTGTATAAAATGCCCTCTCGCGAAAGCTGATCACATGACACCAACTACGTGAGGTGATGAGAGGAACGCTGTGTTACACCGGTTGTATGTAGGAATCGTTGTACATTTAGTAACTGGTTGAATACCTGTCGCTATGTACTCAGGTGCGATGTAGCCTTTGGTACCAAGAACCCTTGTCATTATGTGGTCCTGGTCATCTTTGGGTCCATATTTTGCCAGGCCAAAGTCTGATAGCTTGGCATTGAAGTCCTGCAGTGTCGATTATCATCCTAAGGTTAGATTAATTATTGACAAATACATATGAATAGGACCCTTATGACTTTCGGTTACAAATAGAACTGGAGGAACACTATATTGACCAACCATATAAATCATGGTTCAGTGTTCCATTTTATCGACGTCTAAGTATTCTTACGCTTCAATTAAAATTATATATTGGTACGTAACTATTTGTGTATATTTTGCACAATTAATGTCAAAAAGTATGATGACATAGCCTCACATCATCCAACAGAACATTTGAAGCTTTGAGATCACGATGAATTACGGGCGCCCCGCGAGTGTGAAGACAATGCAGAGCCTTGGCTACGCCGAGTGCTAATTTGGTTCTTCTCCTCCAGTGTAACTGTGTAGCATTTTTCGCCATCAGTTGGGCCTCCAAGCTTCCTCCTTTCATGTACTCATAAACCAACATTCTGTGCTCACCTTCGCGGCAGTACCCTATTAGTTTCACTATGTTTGGATGACTTAGTTTGCTCATAAATTTCCTCTCATTCTGCACCACCAACATAAATCTCACACTCGCAGAAAGATAGATATTGAGAGAGAGAGAGAGAGAGAGAGAGAGACAGAGAGAGAGAGTGAAAAATGACTAATTATATTTAGACCCTCCACACTTCGGTGAATTTCAAAAGAGTTATGGGTTCCAGTTTTCACACGTTGCACCCTCCACACTTTTAGTAAACTGATGATGTCACAAACGTCAAACATGTTTCTAGGCCGAGTATAAGCCACAATTACAACAATGAGACTAAATTGTGTGATTATTTGTCAATTGAGGAGACGATGAAGCTCCATGATGATTAATTAGTTTTGGTCTCTATGCGCGGGAGTATACGCCAACTCCTAGTTGGGTCCCACACTTGTCACTTAATTAATTTAAGAATGATGATATAGCAAAAGGCATAAATTGATAAGATTTGAAACTCATGGTGTAATGTGAAAAAATTAAAACATCGTGGTCAAATTGAAAACTGTTCCAAACCTAAAGGGTGAAAAATGTATTTCTCATTGGAAAAAAAAAGAAGAAAAAGAAAAAAAGATATAATAACTTGCATCTTCCTTGGGAATGAGCTCATTCTCCTACTTGCAAATAACGTATCTTCATTGTACAAAATTTCATAATGAAACTGTTCAATTTCTTAAGATCATTTAAATTAGCTATCATTTAGTTATCCAAATGTATCGAATAAATTAAACGGTCTAGGTACCAAATATTATATGAGTTTTTTTTTTTAAGAATGACCTTCAAATGAATCCTAAGAAATTGAATGGTTTCGATTACAAAATTTCTACAGTAAAAATATGTTATTCATAAGTAAGAGAATAAGCTCATTCTCCAGGGATGGAATGCAAGGATTATTAAAAAATAAAGGGAGACTTTGGATGCAGTCCCTAGTTATGAACAATCTTTGACTGAAACTTTGTTGGTTTTCAATTTTTGATCCAAGTCCCTAAAATTAATTGATAATTTATTTCTATGTACGTTACTATATTTTTTAAATTAAAAATTAAAATTTATAGTTGTTTATATTAATGAGATTTTAAATAAAAACATAATTTGTGGGATTAAAAATATTAAAATATAAATATACTATTGTGTGTGTGTGTGTGTAAACATGGGTACATTCATAAAAAATAACCAAAAAATTATTGTATCAAAACATGGGTACATTCTTCAAAATGGGTACATTTAGCAAAAATAAAAATGGGTACAAATAAATAAAAAAATATGGGTACAATACAAATAAAACTTTAAAAAATATGGGCACAAAAAGAAATTAATATATGGGTACAAATTAAAATTGAAAGGAAAATTGGTACAAATTAAAAAAGGGTTGCAAATTAAAAATGGGTACAAACTAAAAATAAAAATATATGATAAAAAATTTAGCCATAAATATAAATATACTAATTGTAACATTTTTAATATTAAATGAATATATTTATAAATAAAAAATATTTTATTATTGAAATAATTAATGATATTATTAATACAAAGGACCTTGATCAAAAATTGAAAAGTAATAAGGTTTTAATCAATAGAGTAGTAAAAATAAGGATGAAAACCTAATTACTCCAAAAATAAATTAGAAAACAACTGACCTCCCATTGTTCATCGCCTTGTAGTGCTGTCTTTCTGAGCCTTTTGACAGCAATTGGAAATCCCTCACTTGGTTTTGCGGCAGCATTCACATTACAATAACTTACATACCCTTTGTAGACATCACCGAATCCGCCTTGCCCGATCAAGTTCTTGCTGCTAAACTTGCGTGTAGAAGCTTTCAAGGCACTGTAACAGAAGCAGTATAGCCTGTAATCTCGCAACACTCCGTCCTTCTTGTTCACTCTCTCCAAATTCCAATCTTTTGGACTCGGAGTATTGGAGTTTGTCGTGGCCCTTGCATTTTTGCTACGTTTTTTTTCTGCACCTACACACCATCAACAAAAGAAGAGGAGAACAAAGTTTCTTAATTAGGGTTAGCAGAGGGAAGGTAACCAGCTACATGCTTTTTGGATTGCATGCATGCAATAACCATACCTATGTCTGAGACCGAGAAATTCCTCTCTTGAAGTGGTGATCTTCGTTTCTCACGTTTACTGATCATATTTTCTGTACCCAGAAATATATAAAACTAACCGAATGAATAAAGAAAAATTTATACAAAAGTCCCAAATATATTTTTTTTCAGCCAACAAAATGGAATATTCATATATGTACCTTGACCTTGTAAGGAAGTTGAGGAAACAGTTGGAGCTTTCTCTCGAACTGCTTTGTTAGTTTTCTTGGGTAGAGAAATTTGCAGCCGAATGTCTCCTTAGTTACCAAATAGAGAGAAAAGAAGAATTTTACTTTCAGAAACATTTTGCCTATAAATGTTCAACTTCTGATCATTAAAAAATACACAGAAATTAACAGTATGAGTGCAAACCAATGGGATGAGGTTGAACAACTGATGAGACGTCTGTCTCGCCATGGTGTTTCCTCAAGCAGCAGTTTCCCATGAGACCAGCTGATGACTATTACGCTAGAAGAACCAGAACCGAAAGATATGAATTAAGACTGTAATTATGAATATGTGTGAGGAAGCTGATGAGAGAAAGGGAGAGATTATAGAGATAATTAGATTAAGTGGTAGTAAAAACATGAGTAGTACTAGTAATACAACCTAGTAAGAGATGATTAATCAGGTGATGTGGGCTAGGTGGACAAACTATATATGTCCGAAGTTTCAAGAAGAAATATCTGTGGTGATTAGTACAAGAAATCTAGTCCCTTGTCACAAGTGTAAAAGGGGGATTGAATACAAAAAACAATACGTCCAGGTGGTTGATCTATGCCTCTAACAAACAGCTTAGATTGATGAGAGATATTGATCTTAACTTCCAAAGATATTGGTTGGTGGATTTATTGGAATATTAAAATCTTTACAGCTGGAAGAGGTGGTCTGGTCGCAACTTCACAGGGTCAGGTGGAGGGAAAAGACAGAAATTAAACTGTTCTAGTAAAAGGCGAGATGAAGATTATAGTAAATCAACCCAACTTCAGCTCACCATATTTTTTTCATTTTCTAATTGTTTAAGCAGGATGTGGTTCCACATCATTCGGGGTTCCTGTACTATTGAAAAAGTTAGAAATCTGTATAGCAAATGACAATATATGAAGTGTTAGTCATTGGGAAACCAGACAAAAATTTCCAAATTCATTTGTTATTAGGCGGTATCTGTTCGTACGCTTCTATGAACAACAGGTCTTGTATTTAATTTGAAATTTGCATATGTAGACTGTAGTACATGTATACGTCTTGATAATGGCGAAAATGTTATGTTTATGCCGAAAAGGGCATAAACTGTCATGAGAGATGGAAAGAGGCAGATAGACACGCGTAAATATATATATCTCAGGCGCCTTCTTTGGACTCATTTGGTATTTGAACACATACTAAACAAAAGAAATTTAACAGAAGTTTATATCTGGTTCATTGGGCTACTAAGCCAGAAGAGTAATGGAAAAGTTTTTAGGGATATTGCTGTGAATAAGAAAACTAACCTTTTTCCAAATAAGATAAACAATAAAGCATGTTGATTACCTTGAGAAGTTGGGAATTGAGAAAATACAGAAAGAAGGCTAATAATAAACTCAAAACCCTATGCTGCCATGCATATGCTAATCTATTAGAGAAATTCATATTTGTTGCAGAGAGTCAATAACAATAACTTAAAACCTGGGTAGTACTTAATTAGTTACTGTAGTCATCAATTCCAAGCCATCACCTCCAGTCAGTTTTGTTGAGATATGATCAAATGACACCCGGAGTTCCCCCAAACACTTCAGTAGAGATGGTGCAATCATCATTTAATATACAAAGAACTTATGCATCGATCTTAATGAAGTGTTCGGGGGAACTCTAGGGGACACCTGATTCCAGATGTATACGCACAATAGTATTTAATTTATTTACTACGTACTGTTTTTGATTGCTTGGGTACTTATGAAATGTAAACCATGCATGCTAGCTATTTATAGTGGTAAAGCTGCAGCATTTGTTATGTTTGAGCAGAGACTGGAGAGGACGGCAATAATAGTAGTACTGAGCAGTGAACCTAGACATAAGTGTGGGTTAGATTGAACTTGAAGTTACGCACGTAATTAGGAAAAGAATCTTGAGGTTGTGATGAGACTGAGAGGCCATCTCATGTGCCAAAGTTCTTCCTTTTTTGCTAGATGTCCATCCATCTGCTTGTCCAAGTCTTTCATTTTCAGATATTGTTGGAACCAAATTTGCTCACCACCGTGAGTGGTGGAGATGCCCAAACTCGTTAACTTGTAAAAGAAACACACAATTGTACGCAAGCCAAAGACAAGGGGTGTGCTGGTCAAAGGCTCTTCGACAATCAAGTTAGTAAGTAATATTAAGACTCAAGAGAATAAGTATGCAGAGATTGCGTTAGATATAAGGGTGTATTTATACCAGGAGAGGACTTTTAGGATAGTAGAATCCTTATTAAACCAATAGAATCCTAGAGAATATCTAGGAAGTAGGCATTGCATTCTCTTAGGAGTGTGACTACTTGCGACGTACACCAATCCTTTGATTGTAATAAGGACTCCAAGATTATAGGAAACATGTTGATTCCTTGCTGGATTAAGTTCCCGAATCTTGCGGAACAAGCATGGTCTATCACAGCAAAGTCGACAAAATTCGCCCAATAATTTTGAAATAGAATGATGGTGGTATCGCTAATCCGTTTAGTCACCTCCGCAATGGAGGCTGTTAAGTCCATGATCGGACTTCTAAAGTTGGCATTTTTCGATCTGCTTGATTCCTGCCCTGAAAAAATCATAGTCCCACATGTATCTTTACCAAAATCTTGTAATACTGCGGGCATGTGATCATAAACCAAGGGCTTCTTATTCTTAAGATTAACCTAGAATACCACTTTTTAGGTAAGCACTGTAAAGTTTCTCCTTGTGGCCCACACGCCGATTCCTTCGCCATCTATCCATAGCTTAGCTTAAGATGATCATAGTTTAGCACAAGAAAAAATTGCTATGATGTTTGATATATCCGCTATTCCATCATTATATATCGAACTAACTCACATGTCCTTAAGGTACTAGCTAGCTAATGAGCTAGGGCACCAATTTTGCAAGTGTATATTGAAGATTTTATTTTGAATTTGTATGACCTTAAATTGATATTATGGGATGAAAGTGACTGAAGAGGATGTGTGCGCAAGAATGGAAGGGATGGCGATGGGGAGAGCTTATGACCACTCATTGAGTGCAACTCAACAATATTCCCTCCCTCTCATCTTCCCCACAATTCCGACCAGGTTCATCATCAATAGATTTCTGGGGATATCATGTTTCTAATATAATGGCTCTCCTTCATGCCAGAAACCCCAACAAAGTAAGAAAGAGATTATAGGCCAGTTAGCTACAAACTTTGTGATAAATAGTAATTAATTTCCCTAAATTGCCTTGCCAAGAAACCACAAAAACGAAAGAAAGAGATTATCAACTGTTCCCTGGAGTTCCCATGATCGCTTCATTTGGGGTAGTTCATATGATCAGTGCCCTTAATTAACTAACTTACCAGATTAAGGTTGCATACACTACAACAAAAATGACCACTGTGCACAATAAATTATATGTGCCCTTTGAGGCCAAAAAGCACTAATAATTGTGCTCATAGACCAATAGCAACAGTGCAGCAACTATTTTTGTATATGTGCCCTCTATGGGCGTCACCATTGCTTATAGCACACAATATTGCTATTTGTGCTCAAAGAGTTCAGCACAAATAATAGCCTATTTGTGTCTTAATTCTGATAATCATGTCAGATTGTCAGGTGACAGAATCATATGTGCACAATTTTCAAATTGTGCCCAATAGGTTCTATTTAAAAAAAAAAATTAATGTAGAAAATTTTGATTTTTTTTAAATCAACAAATCCCACAATATACACGTATTTCAGTTATTTACAACAAATCCCACGTAATTTACAACCAAGCCATTCTTCAGAATCCTATCCTCCCTCACTGCACTGTAACTGTTGGACCCAAGTTCTTCGTGCAATGAAGCTCACTTAACCACATTCCCTTCTTGCTTAAACTTAGATAGTCCCACAACTTTTTCTGAATTGAAATTAAATCGTAGCTGAATAAGAATCTTAGTAAAAAGCATAGACTAAGAAATATTTATACCTTACAAATAGCATCCATTTCATCAAAGATTATCGCATGCAAACCACTCTGGTCTCCAAGGGAATTAAGGACATAATGAGATTAGAAATTATTGAAAAACCAGCCTAAGTGCACTTGACATGTATATATTTCCCTTACCACGAACCCTTTGATCATTCTCAGCATCAGCAGATAGATTCCTAACATTTTTCTCAGTTTCACCAACGTGCTCAAAATTTCACGGCCATTAACAATCTAGCACAGTTCACAAAAACAGAAATCTCATCAATCACCAATGCAAATAATAACTAACTTATCTAAGGATAAGTTGCATATCCAAAATCATTCAAACATGCTCAAATAGCTTTGTTACAATAATGTACTAGCATCATAATGCTATGTTAAATCATGATTCAACATGGTTCAATGTTTACAGCTGGCAGAATTTAATCGTTTCATTACCTAGCCTGTTATGAAAAATAAGAATACAAGATTGTGACAGTGAGTATCTAGTTCTTAATTTTATCTTAGTTTCATGTGTCATCAATTGGTAAGTCTTATTTAAAATTACAGCTGAAACATAGAAAATTAATCATTCAAATGAACAGAACAAATCTTAGTCCTAAGAGATTTGGAACTCTCAGAAATTTAATAATTAAAGAAAAAGGTGGATCAAACTCCAAATCTTTGGTTCTTTCTTGTTCAACATCTTTCCAATTTGATGAGCCATGAGAGTTTTTAAAGTACCAGGTGGCCCAGCATACCCTTTACATGCTTGATCCCTTATCTGGAGGATCAAAGTCTTTCCAGTAAGGAGTGTGGTATAAAGTTATACCAAAAAGATATCAGCGCAACTAGAAGAATCAGTTATCTTACTTATTTGTCACATGAGGAGGGAAAACATGGGATGCAAAAGCTCTTCGAAATATATCTGCAAACTCAGCACCTAAGCCACCAATTCCAAGTGTTTGAAGATTAAACTCCTTGTGCCTGACAATGTTGATACCTGTAGCTTCATGCTGATTTACAATTTGACGAATACAGTTCAGAATATTAAATTTCAATACATTATTTGGTATTGTATACTATCTAAAATAATACTGAAAATGGCCATCATATCATGACTCTGACATATGTAGCTAAATAATTTATCAAAGGAGCAAGTGCAAAAAATAAATTAAGAAACAATTGAAGAGATATGATATCTACACCCTTAGCAAGAGCAAGGCCAATCCTTTCCAAGAGAGAGAGATATTACCTAACACCAACATCATTTAATCTGCCGATAGCCATACTGGTAGAAAGACCAGCAAGGCCACAAGCTAGATAGCCATACAGGTACTGATGATCACGACAATGATAAGTCCATAAATACCAAACACTATAAAGTTGTGTTAATAACTGGTTAGCAGCTCCTGATTAAAGAATGTAAACAAACAACTTTATAGATTAGATTATGTCTTTGTTGCACTGTAATACAAAAGAAAGAAAAAATCACAACCAATTTTAATACAATCAATTCAAACATTACACACAAACTAAAAATTCTAGAACATTAGAAATATGGAAAGGAAACTAATGCAGATGCTATTTGTTTAAAAAGAATTAATTAACAAAAACTATAAAGTCATATATAAGATAATATTTTAAAATTGCAGAAGTATAGAGATAGGGTTACATCCCACGTGAAAAACCACAGGGGTATGAACTCTGTTTCTCTCAGATTTTCAACACTTAAAACATCAGAGGACATAATTAAGTATAAATTTAACTGATATCGGCTCAAATACCTCCAAGCTTATCATACAACTCTACAACTAGCTAACAAAAATACAGACTATCCAATTTTGAAATTCCAGTTGATCGATCACAAGGCATCAAAGGTAAAAAACAAACCCCTTAACCATCTAAACCCCTTTGCCTCCAAATACTGTGAAATCCCAAAAAAATACGATAAATTTGAGAAATTAAACAAAAAAAAAGGAAAATTTGATTGCGAATTAGGAAAAATATAAAACAACTACCTCCTTATGGCATTGATCTGAGGAACAGTGAAGACGATGGTGCTTCCTCAGAATCTTAGATCCGATCTCAGACTTCACCGACTCGACGAGTTTGAACTCCTGCAGCTTCTTCAACTCCATCTGAAGCTTGTCTTGCTCTTGGCCCTTTGTTTGGAGCTCTTCCTTCTTGATCTTCAAGATCTCCTCCTTCTTAAGGAGCTTCTCGGTTTCTCCTTCTAAAGCCTCGTTGCCTGAAGCTTCTCTTGCATTTCTTCAGGTTCTTTCTCAAACGACAGACAGTTGGGATCTGAGCGTGAGATGCAACGAGAGGGAGAGACAGATCGATTAAGATAGAGAGAGATGCGGAGGCGTTGGTGTTTCTCAAATCTAATGCATGAGTGTTTTTCCAAGAAAAAAACGAAAGAAAATCTCATATCTAAGAGAAGTGAGAGGTAGAGAGAGATGCATAGATTTTGTTTGGTTGATAAAGAGGGAATTTGGATAGAGAGAGAGAGGGAGGGGTTAAAGGGAGAGAGAGGGAAAGCGGCGTGTAGCGTCTGGGTGGGTTAAGGAGGAAAGTGGGGTGTGGGTGGGTTAACTGAGAGAGAGAGACAGAGAGACAGAGAAAGTGGGGTATGTGTGGGCCATAAGTATTTGAAAATTAATAAAAAATAAATAATTGTGTCTTTAGAAGTAAAATGTTGGCACAAATGATAATTTGAGTCCATTATTT